GAAAGAGAAACCTGTGCAATATCTGCAGAGCAGAACTTGCCTTCTACTGGAATTATTTTTAGTTAGCATATAGCTAAAATCTAATGATGGTTATATAATAGCAGCTGCATTCTGGCACGATAAGCTGTATGTTTTATATTCAATTAATGTATGATCTCATTAGTCGACTAATCGAATACATAATCGGTGATTAATCGATTATCAAAATAATCGTTTGTGGCAGCCCTACTATTTATTAATATAGCTGCAATTTCGACATTATTCCGACAAATTATCCAGCCTGAAAGTGTCTTATTTTGAAAATACGGATGTTGTGCTCATTTCTTTTCCTGTTGGTGCAACACAGTCTTTAAAAATTGACTCCGGCGCAGCTCCGGCATCCGTCAAAAATAGGATCTGTTCTAATCGCCGTCCGCTCACCGCCGCCCTGCACAGCCAGTGTAAACACTCTCATTGATTATAATGGGTGCGTACTTGCTGCGGAGGTCAGACCGCAGCGGAGCGGAGACGGAACGCAAGTAATGTAAATTGGGGGTAAACCTGATTCTGATAGAAGCAGTCCGTTCCACCAGTCAGCTCCAGCATTTATCCAGCAGTGCTTGGATCCAGCATGCAGAGCCCACGTGATCACAACAACATGCTGCGCTGACAAATTAGCAAGAAGTAGGAGCGATGTTGGCAGTACTCCTTGTAGCCAAGTGCAAAATTGTCACGCACAAGTTTTCCATGGGGGCACAGAACCGTGTAAGTTTTAACTGGAGAGACAACCAGGCTCTGCTCTCAACCCTGGAAGCAACAACAGCTAAAGCCCCATCTCTACTGGCGTGCTTGTATGTGGTTCAGTTTGGCCAAATGTGTCTCCATGGTTCAGTTCAGTTCAGTTCAGTTCAATTCAATTCAATTCAAAAATACTTTATTGATCCCAGAGGGTAATTAGGTTCCAGCCGCGCTGTTTCAGAACTCTCCAGTGGTTCTAAGCGGGCAGAAGCGAGTACAGCACGCTTACGGTTTTGACATCAGCAGAATTCTGCCTGTGGATTAGCTCTGGGATTGATGGACAGAAGAAAGGAGAGCGCAGCTTGTGTTTTGGAATACGAGTGTGCAGTGCGATACAGCAACATGATATGATGAAAGCAGTGCTAACACTGCTCCCTGCAGGAGAGAGAGGCCAATCTCCACATGATGCTCAGACTGTAGAAAGTGGAAATGCAGCAGTAGGAAAGGTAGCTATCAATTTAAACAACTGACTAATTCTTACTATTTATGTTTTGCTCTTGTTATTAGTGATGTTTAATCCATTTACACTCACCGGCCACTTTATTAGGTACACCACGCTAGTAACGGGTTGGACCCCTTTTTGCCTTCAGAACTGCCTCAATTCTTTGTGGCATAGATTCAACAAGGTGCTGGAAGCATTCCTCAGAGATTTTGGTCCATATTGACATGATGGCATCACAC